ATATATATATATATATATATATATATATATATATATATATTACACACACACAAATATATCTATGTATATGTATATGTATCTGTATATATATATACATACATATATACATGTATATGTATGTGTATAAATATAATGTATTTATATACATGTTATATATATATAAAAAAAAAAATATATATATATATATATATATATATATATATATATATATATATATATATATATATATATATATATATATACACATGCATATCTGTCTATTAACCCATTGCCGCCGGGGATGGCATGTACGTATATGCCATGCCCACTGTGAGTCGACTTGCTTGATTGTTTTTACACATAGATGGCTACACTTGTAATAAGTATCCAATGAGCCAATTACGAGTACTGCCTGTCTAGCCCGTTCACCCTTTTCATCGATTTACGAAAATATTTAACGTTATCCTAATTTGCTGTTAAAAATATCACCATCTACATTTATAGCACTAGTAAGAATACGTTTTTTTCCCGCCAATTCAAGGAAAGGTGAAATCAGGACTAGCAGAGCCATCTATGGACAGACATATTTCACAAAAAATATAAAAAATGAGTACTGTATTTCCCCCATTTTTTGTTCATTTTCCCCGGCGGCAATGGGTTAATTCATCTATATAAAAAAAAAAATTATCTTTCTTTCTTGCACTTTGAGCACACATATATATATGTAAGAACATTTTTTCAAGACTCAGTAAGGATTTTTGCAATGCTAGATTCCAAACTAAATTACTCCATTCACAGCATTCTTTTCTCAAACCACTTCAACCATGGACATAAGAAATACAAAAAAAAAAAAAAAACTTTCAAGAACTTTTATTTACAAGAACTGAGAAGCAAGCAGCAGTGTCCTTGAACCAAAATCCAAACTCTCATTATGCAAAGATTAATCACAGAGGCAAAACACTGCTAATATAACAAAATATGTATAGAAGTTGAAAATAAAACACTTCTTTACCTTCATAACAAATAAATCTTATAATATGCCTACGCTCCTGAATATTTTCCATTGCTTACAGGCTACAAGAGACTTTTCTATCTCTACAATATCCACCACAGGAAGTCACCTAAAATGTCACAGGAGGGTTTCTTAGGCATTTAGGGGAAGCAAACAGCGCACACAATGACATTTCTATTCATTACGGTCTCATGACATCAAGCTTATATAGGTGACGAGACATGCCTCTTTCCCACCCTAGGAAATGGTGGGCAAGATATGCAAGGCAAAAGAAATTTGTAGATGCCTAAAGTTGATTGGATGATGACCTCAAGGAGAATACTGTCACAGGTCTTGACTGTAACTTCAGTGGGACCTTAAATTTGGACACTAGTAAAGTATGGGGCACTTCGGAGGTTCATAACCAAGCAATATATGTGTAATATCATGATGAAATAACTCTTAAGCCAGATGTACAGAAGTGTAATGATGACGATAGAAATGTAACCCAGACTTTTTGCACCCTCTGTTGAAGAATCTAGTATGAATCTGATTTCTGGGGTTATCCAATAGAGACAACTTTTCTTGGGTTTTTTAAAAATATTTTTTCATTTTACAGACAAAATATGCCAAAATATATCCATCCTTTTCCTGAATACAGGCTTAACATACAAACATGAACAATTTGTTAAATTTTTTGTTGTTCACTCTGATTCAGCAATTTTTAATTTCTCACATACAAAATATTCATATCCAAACTACAATCAAAATGACTTAATCAGTAATAATTCTGATACTATCATGATAATATATTCAAATGGAGCAAAATATTAAAGACTCCAAAATGGCATAGAACACTGAATAAATCTAACATGATATATGAAAGCTTATATTATATACTCTTTAGCAGACCAAGAAAATTTGGCTAAATGTGACAATCCCTTTAAAGAACATGCAAACATAATTATACTGTTAAAGTACAGAGGTTTATGACAAAGCTACAGATCGTGAGAGAGAGAGAGAGAGAGAGAGAGAGAGAGAGAGAGAGAGAGAGAGAGAGAGAGAGAGAGAGAGAGAGAGAGAGAGAGAGAGAGAGAGAGAGAGAGAGAGACACAGTCTTTGTCAAGGGGACAAAGAAATGTTTATAAGCAAAAAATACAGTCTTAGAATTGGAGAGAGATTAAATGACAAAATTCAAGTGGTGAGATATTTCAAGATTCATATTATAAGTGGTGCCTAACTGCAGACACGAAACATTCACAAAGGAAATTACACAGGATAAACTACAGTATACAGCAGACCATTCTATCATTCCAGCTTGTAGTCTGCAAATCATATCTATTATACCTTTCTTTTGCATTCTACCCTCTCATCACAAACACTTTCTTCTTCTTCCCTTAGACAACTTAACATTTTTGAGACTTACTTTCTGATAAAATGGATCAGAGAAAATATATATATATATTCTATCCATAGTCCTTCCTAATCTTAATATCAAATAACAATCTCTTGTTCTTTTATACTTTCAGACTAGAATCTTTATGCGTATCGTATAACTTGAAAGGATCTGTGAGAAAAAAGATAAAACGATACAGGTAATTTGTGTTTGCGAATCAATTCATATCAATTGTCTTTAGGACAGCATCAATGGACATTCATGGGTTTATGACTAAAATCTCCTTAAAATACTTAATGATACATAGAAGTCACTTGAGAGAAAAATATTCTTTACTTTCCTTTTACAAAAATATCCTTTGGTAGGTACTTTTTGATATGATCATCTGATTCACCGTTCAAATCTGCACGGACAGAAATGTGAAAAAATATGAATGTAGATACAGACAATCATTCACTGAAGCTGAATATCTCATTATCTTCTCTGACCCAATAAACTTAAACGAGACTAATGTTTCACCTTGGAATGCCACTGAACCCAATGTTCATTATTGGAAAAAAAAAAAAAAAAAAAATGTATATATAGAGAGAGATACATTTACATACAGAAAAAAAAAACATCACTTAACCTATACATTACACTTTATAATTCAGGCCCTTAATACTATTCCCTTCATTTACAGTAACATTCACATCTACTAAACAAGAGAGAATGAATTGTAACTTATGATAAAATGAGCACTGGAAATTAAAAAGACCTCTCGCTACAAAATGTCAATTCATTACAATCTGTAGTCTTGGGTATATGACGAATTTTAATGAGACCATTTAGTTTTAACAACTGTTTAAGCTTTCATATACACTCGCTCTCATTCTCCATTCATTCATTCACCATTTCCCTTTGTCTCCGTTTCTGGACCTTGCCTACTCACACAAGTCATTCGTAAAATACAAAGTACTGTTTGGCTATGAGTGCTTTAATCTTGCCAATGGAAGGGACATATAATATTCAGTATCTTTTTCTCCTTATTTACTTCTTATCTATCTTTCCTTAGCTTCTTCTTTTTTTCAAGCTTTGTAAATCCACAAGCTTGTCGTTGTACAAAAGAAAATCAAAATCAAAAATATTTCAAAAATTAGAAGGCAATAGGACATTAAAGAAGAAAAAATATGGTACAGTATCAACTATGCAAATGAAATCCCTTTTTGAAATGCATATTAATTACAAAATAACATTTCTTTCTTGATGTTACAGAAAATGTAATCACTTTGTGCTTTTAATTAAGTGTATCACAAGGAAGTATACATGAGCTTTTAAAGCAGTTCCTTCAAAACTTACTTCCCTAAGTGCAAAAAAAATGTGTGCATGTTCATGTTCGAGTATGCATGTGTGTTTGTGGGGGGGGTATGTGTAGATGTACATGAAAATTACCATAAACAAAAAAAACAAAAAAAAAAAAAACACACATCTTACTCGCACAAGATCCTCAATTCCTGCCTATCATACAACATAAAAACCTTGGGGGGTGGTGGGTTGGGGGATATGAAACACATTCCACCTCCCTTTTCCTCGCAGTGTCTCGGCATAAACAAACTCAAAATCAGGTTGCAGCCTTGGAGGAAAAAAAAAAAAAAAAAAAAAAAATGCAGGGGAAAAACAGGAGAATAGCAAGGTGTTCCAGAAACCGACACACGACCCGGACAAAATGTATATACGTTTGCCGCAGAGGGATATCACATGGGGGTTAAATACTATAGTCATCTACGAAGCAAACAGATATGGGATAAGATGGCATCCTACACTAGATCCTAGGACATACAGATATACACCTCATTGTTATTTTTTTTTCTTGCAGTGGTTTGCATTAGCACACATTACCTTAAATTCATTATTTATACTAAAAAGGACCTGAATAAAACAGTACATAAAATAACAAGAGGTGTTCTGCATTCAGATACTGAAATGATCTGTTCCTGCAGAGAAAACTCAATGAACTGGGTAACTCAATATATAGACTTGAAAATGAAGTATCAAGTAAGATAAATCTCTATATAAAGAATAATGTATACTGTACTGTGTACAAATATACTGAATCTTTGGCCTATTAAAAAAAAAAAAGCAGATAAAAAAGACAACTAGGAAAAAAAAAAAAAAAAAACATGTCTTTTAGATTATTACAAAAACAAGTACAAAAACAACAATCTTTGTCAAAATAGAAAATATGCACTAACAATCAAAAAAAAAAAAAAAAAAAAAAAAAAAAAAAAATTGTTCACTCCAGAGGATTCCAACTGCAAAGTACATTTCCCTCGTGTCTTCAAGCCAACTAGCTAGTACCGTCACTGGTCATCCCCTTTGTGTCCTTAACTTCGACTATTCCCGATAATGGAGAGAATGTACGTGAAGATGTTGATGACGTCCAGGTAGAGGGTGAGGGCAGCGAAGACATATTCCTCAGGTGAGATGGAGAACTTGTGGTTTCCTCCGATCATGAGTTGCGTGTCGAACACCAGGTAGAAGCAGAAGAGTAGGGCACCCACACTCGAGTACACAAGGTTCAGGATCTAGGGTACGGGGTAAGGGGTAAGGAGAGGAAGATGAAGTCAGTGATGAATCATTCAAAATCCATAATGA